GCCATACTAACATTGCCAGATTGCGATATCTCCAACCCAGTCTTTCAGGTAATCAACCTACCATCCTACCAACTTTACACACCTACAATACGACCACGTCCCACCCACCAAATTCACTCATTAACCCAATCCATCCACCTACCCGTGTCATTCATATTCACCACCTCTCGCTAAACACACATACATATACTCAAACAATACGCTTTCTACCACAACATCCCACCAACTGGCAGAGTGGTCAACCCCACTCGCTCAAGTCAGTTCGCCCAGTGAAGCAAGAATATACCATTCCGATCCCGCATCGATCTCGGGTGTGGGCGTGAGTGGGATGTTGGTACTAATCCAAAAAACCGGTGGTGCCGGTTTTCCCCTATAGCGCGAGAAGTCGCGCTCAGTAGGTTTTGCATTTTTGATAGTTGAGGAGGAGGAGGAGGAGGAGGAGGAGGGATAAGTGGGGCAGACGGACGTTGTACGGTAGAGAGAGGATGGGGATGGGGAAGCGAGTGAGTGAGGAGAGGAAGATGAGAGAGGTGTGTACTTTGTTTCTTTATGATGTCGATGTCTCACTAGGATGTCGCATTATATATCTACGTATCTATCTCGTTAGCCAGATTATTCTTTTCGGCTCCGGCATCACAACTTCTTTGCGCGAAGTTGGCAAATGGTGAGTGAGTGTGTGGTGTACATGCGAAATCAACATCATATCACATCGCATCACATCCCATCAACAAAAATGAAAATACTCCGTCCATCCATCTCATCAATTCATCTTTCAACCCCCAAAATTCTCACCATTCTTATGAAACAAAGCTAAATGAAATAAAAACCCAAATCATAATAGACACACCCGGCGTAAGAATCCTCATCTCATCTCATCTCATCACATCTCATCACAAACCACCCCAACTACAACTTCAACTAGATATAAGCTAGATTCAAAGTTACCAATAACCACGATACCTACTTGCGCCAACCCCCTCTTTACACCAGTCCCCTCTTTATTTTCCATTCTTTTCTTTTCACTCCTCCCTACAGACGCGAGATAAGATGGGATAGATGTATTGAAAAGGAATAACTCTTGCGCTTCTAGGAAAAGTGATGGAAGTCTGGGTTAAATATATCATATCATATTATGTTATGCTATATTATACAATACTATTTATTCACTACGCACACACACACACACACACACACACATATATATATATATATGTCACATCATGTTATGCTACTATCTCACCATACAAAATTAGGTAGGTACCTAAGCGTCAATTTATCCTATCCATGCATCAATCAATTTCTCTACGCATTCAAATATCCATTCAGATATCCATCCCTCCTTGCAATCCCATCTCTCCTCTTACTTCCCGCCATGATAGATCCGCATCACAGTGCTATGATATGATCAGATTAGATCAGATCAGATCAGTAACAGCATATATCAAACTCTCCAAGCACCATACAACCAATCCATCCATCAATACACAACTACACAAACACACAAACACACACGCACACATACACACACACTTAAATACCACCCACCCGCTCGCTCGCTCAAGCTAACCATCAATAATCAACCAACTAAGCAACCAACAGAAAAATAATAGTGTACAAAGGGAAAGATACACATCTCGTAGACAAGTCAGATTTGAATAACATTCCCAATCTCAATCTCAAGATTCTAGGCACAGATACCCGCCCATTAATCCCATCACCTCATCGCGTCACGCACTCCTCACGCTCACCAGTGCTTACAATCCCCAAACCCCAAAACAAAAAGAACATCTGGATATCAATATTGAAAAACGAAATGTAAACAAGTTTGTTTGTTTTCTGAATTGAATGAAAAGCAAGTCTCCTAATAAATACCCTCCCACCTCAAGCATAAACACCCTTTGAACCTGGTTCGTCCCACCTCGGCGTAATTGTATTTTCCAATTCCTCTCTATCATCTCTCTCCCTCCCCGGCGTACTCCAACCCCCTCTCCCACTTTTTCTCCTCCTAACACTACCATCTACATCCTCCAATGCGCCGATCCACTCCCAGACTCTTGAGATCTCACCATTTTGACTCTCCCTTTGCATAGATCTAACGTTCGAATTCATTTCCACTACTTTCTTGACTTTTGTCCAGATTTGTTCTCGCTTTTTCAAACTATGTTCATCGCGGAGGACATCGTCTCTTAATTGCCCTATGCTGATCCAACCGTCCTTAAATCCATCTGGATCAGAAGCGTGAAGGGATGCTTGAGTAGCGAGACGTTGAAGGGTAAGTGAGACCAAAGCAGGAATTGCGGCTTTCGTAGCTGTATGATTGCGAATCGATGAACGGGCGTAGAGGAAGAGAATAAAGGCTAGAATTAGAGATCCAATTTCGAGATAATATCTTGCCAATGTGTGTCTGAAGGATCGCTTGACGGCGCAGACGAGGGGGAGACGGGCGAGTGAGGTACTTGTGAGGGTGTTTGATCTACAACGGGGATGTTTAACCTGATTAGTGAACCGAGTTGTCAGAAGATATTGTGGTAAAAGGAAGAATACATGTACAAACAGTGACAAGGATCAAAAAGGAAAGAAATTCAAAACTTACCCATCAGCACCAACGACTACTTCATCTCTCCCCTTGATCTCTCCGATGGCACCAAGCCATAATTCCTCGAATTCGGCTTCTCCCATGCCCTTTCTCCTCTTTTGGCTAACTTCTTTCTTCAAATGTTCGGCGTCTATCTCAACAGTCGGTTCGGGTGCACCAGCTTCATCTGTCAAATCACCGCATTCCCATTTTGCTCTTCTCTCTCTCAATTCCTCAACAGCTCGATCTGCGACAGCTTTGACGCGCCTCTGTTTCTCTCCATCGGGTTCACAAGTTGGTGGAAGCGGTAAGAATCCACCTAACGAAAGAGGATGATGCTTGAGAATAAAATCTTGGTCGCATTGAACTTCATAGTTGGCATTACAATAAGCATGCTGTGGGCACCAATCGCACTGCGGTTCGGCGAGTACTTGTACCCAATCCGGAAGGTCTGGTCTGACGGGTATTATCGAATGCGCTTCTCTACCTACTCCACAGAAGCCTACTGCAATTTTCTCTTGTCTGTACCAAGTAGCATAACCACCAAGCAATGTAAGAAGAATCATCCAAATAGGTCCACTCATGCTGACGCCGTTTGATGCTTTTCGTCGAGGCTGAATCGTAGTGCGCCCTCTCTGTTGCTCACGCTCGAGTTCGAATTGTGCCTCTGGAGTAAAATCCTCACTAATCTCTACTCCATTCTCATCGTAATCCTTCAGGCCATCGAGGCTACTAACAGGAATTTCAAAAGTGGAAGAAGTCGGCGGGCGTATTCCAACATTAGCTTGTGGGGTCACCGTGCGTCTTCTCGAAATCGAACTCCTTCGTTTTTCCAATTCCTTCATAGCACTCCCGCCCATGCTCTTCCTCTTACTGTCATGACTTGATATGGGTATTCTAGGTGGCGAGCCCCTCTGAAAGGGATTATCGTGGGTGAAATTGCTTTCTCTCCGCGAGTCTTTCTTTTGTACCACTCCATCTAAATTGTCCCTTGCCCCGACCATCGGCGTTTGAACTGTTGTGCTTTTTCTTGATTTTCTCACAGTCTGCGGGACATCGTCATCGTCTGAAAGAGTCTCCTCCTCCTGCCTGGGATGTTTGACGCTTGGTTTGGGTGTCCTTTTCACAGGACTACTAGCTCTAGGCATTCTCTTTACTGGGCTGATAGACCTAGTTGATCTCCTGGTATTCCTATACGCTGGCTCATCATCGCTAATATCCACCGATGCTCTAACTTTTGCAGGAGATTGTCTCACAACTCGTGTCCGCGGTGGTGGCAGGATAACATCACTTTCCCGTGGGCTTTCTATTATACTTTCCTGAGCACTGCTCTCTTGTGACGATTCCGCATCCACGATTCCTCGACTCGTTCTCTTCGCACGCGCTCTTTCGTTCAATATCTTTCGTGCCTGTGGTCTTAAATCTTCGTTGAAGATTTCGACGAGTTGCGCTTTCTTCGCACCGGATGGATAACCGATATTATGTGTGACTAGAACAGAGCGGATTCGAGGCACTGTAAGGGAAGCTGGATCAAAGCCGTCCTGCAGGTAATCGAGTTCATCTGACATGATGTTTGCTTGTTTTCTGGTGTGTGTGCTGACAAGTTATGAGAATGCGAAGTAACAATCCAGCTAGGGGGCGAACAAAACTGGATATCAGGGAGGAGAGTAAAATGAATAAAGGGTCGCGAAGTCTCAAACACCTCTTGAAATGAGGCTAAAAAAAGATACTTTGAGATAGTTGACTTAGTATGTTGATATGCTTGGCATGTGGTATGCGATGATAATGACGTACAATCGTGTAACCAATTCTATGTATCAATCCACCCAGTAATTGTAGGTATCCAGAAATATCTTCTGATTTGGCGCAAGCGTGCGAACGAGACCGGATCAAAGATGAAGTTGACGAGGGGGTGGATAAGTGAGGGTAGGTAGCTATTCCTTGTGCTTCTTGAGTTTGCAAAAGCTTTGATGGAAAAGTCGATAAGGAAGAAAGTTTGAAAATACGAAGATGAATGGTTGTGGGGGAAACCGGAGTATCTCTAAGAGGATACTGCCGTAGAGGCTTACCTGGTAGTAATCTTGCGCCACATGTGGCGTCTGCCCGTTCCGAATGCTGGAAATGTCTCACAATGTTTATAAATGGAAGTTCCAAGCCACACACAGTCTTTCAAAGCCAGGCTTTTAAGTTTTGGCTAGCTAAGAATTGAAAAGCTCCTCTTCTCTTCCCTTCTCATCCTCATCATGTGAAATCTCGACGATTTGAATCAAAATCTAAATCAACTCCAACTCCAACTCCACCTCAAAATCCAATCCTCCCCCCAAAATCAATGACTTTTCTTTTTCACTTGGTGAAAGAGGTAAATGTCAATTTTGAAGTGTTTTAAGACGTGAATGAAGTTGTTGACTTGAAATTTTCAATAATCATGATGAATTATCAACAAGATGAAAGTATCAGAGATGTATGTGGTTTTCTTCCATTTTGATTTTTCTTGCCGTGCTGCCTCTAACATTCACCGTAAACAGCTCAATGTCGCACTTCAAAGAGTTTTATTGGCGTTTCCTGGCAACAGTGGTCACCAATTAATTCAAGATACCGTTCGAAGAGGTATGTATATCTTCACACTCTTTTCTTTCTGACCTCGAAATCAAAGTTTAAACTCACCAAATGAAAGCTATCAACGCATCTGCATCGGAATCACAATTTCCAACACCAGCATGCATTCAAACGGAAGAGGAATCGAAACATTTCGATCAATTACGTAACTTCATCGACAACCTTGTCTTGACAGTAACGCCTCAAGCTCTTCCAGCTTCCTCATCGACATCATCATCAAGTCGGCCAACTTCCGAACACAACAAGCGGAAATCTCTCGATGATCCGGAACATGATGCCAAGTTGTCACGGAGAAAGTTGTCAAAAGCAGAGCAGGAAGCAGCGGGAGCTTTGCAAGAATTATCAGCCGGTGTTTAAGTATATGGATATGGATGGATGGATGGATGGATGGTTTGGGTCTGGATTTCACGGATGGTAAAAATTGAAGCAAATTTGTAAGATTATCAAAAAGATGTAGTTAATACAAGAAAGACAGCTTTCATGAATCAATAAGTATCACGTCTGTATCACGTCTGTATCACGTCTTTGTGCTACTTGTTGTAGGCGCGTCGTCCCTTGAAAATGTACTTTTGAAGTTGGTATCTGAGTCCTCCTTTGAGATTTCATTACCAGTGGTGCAAACTTGCAAACTTGCAAACTTGCGGACTTCAATCGATCAGACAAAATACAATATCATTACCATCCTCATACTCCAGTTAAATTTTCCGTATCTTAATATCATCGTCGTCTGATCTTGACGCCTACGATTGTAGCTCTTGCTTCCATCTGAAAGCATTTTCTGTTTCTATGTGGTCACGTGCCTGCTGCCTATGGCAGATTTTCGATGTACACCTTCATTGGTATGTGATTGTTTCAGAATACGGATTATACTTTGGTTGTGGATCGTGATTTCTGGTGTGATCACATATTGTTCCTCCATTTGTTTTATTTTATTTCATGTATCGTTTGTTAACCTTTCTCCTTCTAACAAATTGGACATTTTTATGAGTTCTTATTCAAATCATTTATTCTCAGCATCAACTGTACAACTACCTATCACTGTCTCTCGTCTATCCCTTTTCTTGCCTACTGATTCAGAAGCTTTCCATCACAATGATCTCTATTTAACTTGAAGCCTGGCCGAAGCGATTCACTCTGATTGTCGATATTCTTACTGTTGAAAAGATTCTCGAGTCACAACATTCACATCAATCAATGGAAGATGCTCAAATTTTATATATTGCCGAGTGGCATTTTTTTGTTATTTTCCAGTCCACTTGGGAACCTTTTATGGTAACTATACTAAATCAAGATACCGATGCCAAAATTCAAACCCTAACTATTAAGAAAGAGGAAACCCTAAAAATGAGAACGATGTAAATCAACCCTCCCAACTAAGCCGAACAGACTCTGCATTATTATCCAGATCTAGTCAATTGATATCGACTCTCTTGACCTCAGTCCAGGTCTCTTCTTTCTCTACCTTTGGTACAGTGACGACCAAAACACCATCCTCCAACTTGGCGGTAATGTTATCACCATCAACTTCGGATTTATCTTCTTCGTTGAGGGGTAATTTCATAGTACGCTCGAAAGCACCCACCTTTCTCTCCTTCTTTGTGAGACTCTCCAGGAATTTCTCATCTCCTTGTCTGTATACCACACCTGCCATGTTCAACATTCCTTTCTCAGCATCCCAGTGTACACCTACATCTTCTTTTTTGGCACCAGGCAGCGCAATGTGGAGGACATATGCATTTTCAGTGGTGAAAACGTCAATGGGGGGAACAAAAGAGTTCTCTGCGTCGGCATCTTCGGGAACGAGTGTTTCACCAGAGCGCTGAGCTGCAGGTACACCAAATGCCTGTGCAATTGGGTGAGAGGAGAGTGCTTGTATCATTGCACTGAAATCGAATGGGCCACCTGGGCCAGCGAATGGAGGTGGACCGCGTCTTCCGTGATGACCGTGAGGTCCACCCCAAGCATGGGGCCCTCCCCTACCGTGTGGTCCCCCATGAGGTCCTCCGTGTGGCCCACCTCGCCCTCCACCTCGAACACCCCATCCGCCTCGGCTACCTGGTCCGTGACGTCCGTGATGTTTAGGTCCTCGACATGATTCAGGTCCTTTTGATCCTTCTCTCACTTCAAGATCCGATGACTCCTCACCTGATGTCTCTCCATCTCTGCGACAGTGACCCTTCCTGCCTTTGCCTTTGCAACCTCGAGGACCCCGGTGTGGTTTAGGAGATTCCTCCCCTGCTTCAGTGTCAGAAGTTGGGGTTTCCTCACCAGATTCTTCTCCACCTCTACGGCCATGTTTGCCTCTGCCATGATGACGATGTCCTCGGAATTCCTCTTTACCTTCTCCCTCGGTGTGTTCTCCATCTCTACCATGAGAGAAGGAACGATGTCCTCTGTGACCGTGTCTTCCTCTTGGTCCGAACCCACCTCTACCAAATGGTCCTGGTCCGCCAAAAGGGAAACCAAATGGACCAAATGGACCGAATTCATGTGGACCATGATCACCTCTAGGGCCATGAGCACCTCTGGACCATGTCGTCCAGGATGCTCATGAGGGCCATGAGGTCCTTCTGGTGGACCCCACATGTTGAACTCTTGCGAAGGGTGGTCGACACCAGCTCCAGAGTTTTGTGGTTGCATTGAGCGTACAAAATCCCAGAAGGGACCTGCTTGCTGATTGTTGTTTTGATTGTTGAATTCCATGATGAATTGATAATGATGATGATATAGATTAAAGAAAGAATACAAAAATCGAGGGGTGGGATCAAGGAATATATACCTCTTCCCAAGGCCCTCAGACTTCGAGGCAAGCCAGTAAGTGCGTAACCTCAACACCGAAACTAGCGGGGAGGCAAAAATGGCAACGAAACACAAACCTACCTATTTCCAGTCAACAAGCTGTTGACGTACCCCACACGGAAATGGTAAAAACCTTGAAATGCATCAGACTGAAGAGCTGTGGTTGGTGATTAAGCTGAAAGTAGCCGCGCGTCGGTCAAGCACATAGCATTGATGTGGCGTAAGCTTTTCCTTTTCCCCTCAACAAGTGTGGCTCATCTATTGGAATGGTCTTAGAGTGAGTCAAGCTAGTGAAGATGACTCAAAGCCAAGAATTATTCGGATTTTCGGGTTTCTTCTAACTCCCGTCAACTTCTAATTGGCTCATATTGTGAACTGTCGGAACCGACAAGATCTCTCGGTCCCGAAGGGTGGCGAAGTGTAGAAAAGTCGCCACTCCACTTATTAATCAATTTATGATTCTCCATCCACACAACTCTTACGATCTCAAACAATGACTTCCTCACTCTCTTCATCGACGCTCATAATTTCCCCAATCTCAATTTTCAATCCCAGACAAAGCGCTCAATCCCGACACCGAGTGGACGAATTAATATCCAAATCATGCAGCAAAACCACATTAGGCTTGTCGAGGCGTCGGTTCTACCCATAAACAGAATATTCTAGTGATCAATCTTCATGCCAATCCCCAAAAGACGATACTTCTTTCCCATATTCAATGTGCCGTATTTGGACATATCCCATGTTGCGAGACGTGCAACAAAAAGAATTGGAAAGTTGGAGTATCAAATTGAGGTAGAGCCTGTTATCGGCGGGTGGCTGAGGGGAAACGTATGATCTTAGGTAAGGCGGTTTGAAAAAGTCGTGGAACGTGGGAATCAATTAGCTAGGTAGGTCACTGTCGCTTTTTGTATCTTCATTTCGATCTTGGACTATATATTGATGCATTCTGAGAATTTGTTGTTCTATTTGGATTGTTTTATGGATTTTTCTGTGATTATTATGGGTTTCTTCATTTATCAAGCATGTGAATGTCGTTCGGTAAGCGTTTTCGTTAGATGTGTACAACAATTTTGTTCATTACAATGAACTTTGCTATCTTGTAGTTTTACACAACTTCATAAACCTCTTCCACTACTGCCACCTCTATTTCATTTACTTTATTGAACTCAAGCGTTTTATTTGCAACTCGCAGCTTGTGCTTACTCAGTCTGTTTAAAGGTGTTGGATCAATTTATTCTTTAGAAAGAAGATTAATCCCACCCTCCATCTCTGGATTCGTGGGTACTCTCTGATAAGCTCCATTCGATCAGGTTTCCAGTTTTCAATTTCCTTATCGTCTTGCTCTCTGAAGCTATTCCTATTGGATGCTGTCTTGTTCGACTGAGTAGAGATCAAGAGATCATTGTGTCAGTGAGAATTGGAAAAGAAGAGAGCTCAAAGACTCAAAGTTGACGAAATCTGGGCCTTGAGGCATTCAAGGAGACTTAGAATCTTTAGATATTTACACCCTTTCATCGTTGATATATCACATTTGACTACACCCAGGCACAATATCACAGCAATACCATCCTGATCGCATTTCTTGATGTGTATTTTTCGTTCCCAGGTGAACCTCACAGTCACATACAACCGCATTCTCGTGAGATGTCGATATTCAATTATGCTTTTGACAGCTGAGTGACTCGCAAAGAATAGTTTCTTAAAATCTCTTTCCTACATCATGTGCGACACAGTGCCCCATTCTCATCAAGCTTCCAATTTACATCGCTACCAACTGCTGCATTCGCCCAGAATAAAAACTCCGGGTCATACTTCTTCTTCACCTTTAATAGTGACTTATAATTTGACCCATAATAATCATATTTCCAATACGGATTGTTCCACGTCGCTTCATTCATGTATGAACCTCCTCCGGGCGTGATAGCACGCAACTTTCCTTGCCAACTATTCAATTTTGTCTGAGTATTACGGATATCATGAAGTTCAGCGTTTCCGGCTAACGGTTTCAAAAATGCAACAGCAAACAAGGCAGCGCGCCAAGTTGAAAGTACGGCATTAGGAGTATAGTTCCCATGAGTAATATTTGCCGCAGTTAGGAAGATAGTTCCTCCTTCATCCGCGATATCGTGAAAAGCGGAAATGAGTGCAGGCAGAGTGGCGCTATCTTGCACCGTTGAGCGTGGAATATTTCGTCCGCCTATCGAGATATTGCTAGTCTCTGCTTGTGAGACCCAGTGATCGTAGGACTCGGCAAAGTTAATATGAACTTCAGCGGTATAGCTGTTGTCTAATGAGATATTGAGGTCCTCCAGCTTGTTGAAAAATGGTTTTAAAGCATTGTCAATTATAGTTGTTGTAGTGATATCTGGCAATAAAGCGAAGTTTAACGATAAGCTCCCGGCTGTAATTGTCGAGACGGTGGTAAGGTCTTTAATAGTATCCAACACAAGCAAAGTTTGTAACCAAGCACCAACAGCAGTCCAATACGCAGTACTATTACCATTTTTGAAAGAGAAAGCCGCACCAGCCACAGGACCATCATTATAGACCCGAACCTTCATCGAAAGCACTACAGCAAAATTTCCACCTCCACCTCCACTCAATGCCCAGTACAAATCCTCATGATGCGTGGGCGAAACAATTAGATGTTGTCCCGTGGCAGTCACAACTTCCCATTCTAGTACCTGATCAGCAGCAACTCCATAGGCACCCATTAGTGGTCCATGGCCACCGCCCTGTGTATAACCGCCTGCTAGTCCGACTCCAGAACATGAACCGCCGACGGCTCGATACCCGTGTTTTTGGGCTAGGGGGTATAAATCGGTATATTGAACTCCAGCACCCATGTGTACTGCGGGTCCTGTGTACAAGCCGCTGCTGTAATTGAGAAAACTTATATTGTTTAGATTGTGCATCCATAGAGCTAGTGAACCGGCACCGGTGGAGCGTCCGAGAAAATCATGACCTGTATTCTTGATAGTAAGTCTGATGTTATTCTCCCGTGCGAATTTGAGACCGGTAATAACATCTGAAGCAGAACTGATGTTGAGAGCGTAGGAAGCAAGGTTTCCTAGTGTACAGATGCTGCTCGTGTTTGATTCTAGAAATGGAGAACAGGAGTTATTGAGCCAGTAGGGTGACATGATATTCACGGGGTTGGTTTCACTAGTCGTATCAGCTTTATTTGTCTCATTGAGTTTGTTTTTGAGCGTGAGGGTGGAACACACAATGGTGATTGTAAAAGCCATGATTCTTGTATTTGAGAACATTTTCAGTATCGAAATGAGGTTCATAACATGGCTGGGCTAGAGGAACACCACGGATAAGGTTTCCGGATACGGTTTGATTCAAGTGATTCCATACTGTTTGGTTAGGCCATGCGGGATCGCTTGGGAGGTAGCGACATGGTGGGTTGGTTTGGGGGTGGGGAGATGGGTAGACGAGGGAGGAGAAAAATAGGATTATGATGCTTATTATACCCAACATTCTGGAGAAGATATGCTGTATGATGCTTTTCTGTTGCGATGAAAAGAAATAGCTTGTGCTTGTGTTTTGGGTTTTCTTATGTTTATTTTGTTGAGATCACTTCAGCCTGTATGCATGCGTCAAGTCGTGGCATCGAGGGTGTTGATAAGGAGGCTGCTTTTACAGATGGGGTGGATTTATGCGGTGATACAAATGACGTATTAAGATTCACGCAGTAAGATTCCATGCATGAACAGAAAGGAATGAGAAAAACGAAGTACGTTCTTGAATCTTGTATCGTTCTCTTATCCCTATCCCTTTAATACAGCAATCGGTCCCAAAATCCACGCAAAGCCAAAGGCCAAAGTGCATAAACATGCAATCTCGAAAATCAAGCTTGAGCATGTCAGCATCGGAGTAGCTCGAGAAAACCAGATGGTTCGACCGTAGTTGCAGGATATCCAGAGGTCTTTCTTTTCTGGAGCGGACCAGCATTGGGAACATGTGCAGTATGGCAAGATTGTCCGAGAGCTGGAAATACTGGTGTATTGGTATTGTCATGAGGTGTTTGCTAGATATGTGTTATTACTTCCCTTTGAGGAATTATTTGAATATCTCAGGGATGATGAGAGGATGATTTGAGTAAAGAGGAATGAGAGGTTGTCTAAAGACTCCCATCTTGACTCCGCGAGTCTTGTGATGATCACCACAACGACACCTATACGCAGAGAAAAGAGAATACCCTTAGGTGAACTCCATCCCGCGATATACAATGTACAATTATTGTAATGAGTTCAACTCCCCTAGATATGATTTGAAGCGAACTTCGGTTGCACGTTGCTATTAATAAGATACCATTTCCACGGGACATATCGATAACAAACCATGTTGCGAAAAGTCATGACTTGACGATGTAGAGTTTTCTCTTTGTAGTCGTCTACTATTAATGGTATAGCTGGTAGGAAATTATACATGTCTCTTCCGACCTCCAATTCTTTGGTAGATCGCAAACACGTCATTCTTTGCCATCTCTCTCGCTCGATCTGCAACTTCTCGCGGGTCTCATTGGGATTAGATATCGTGTGAATCTTTTCTGGCTCCAGATTCCCACTCGAGTCTTGAGTATGCGTATGGGTGTCAGATTCTGACCGATACATTTGTAGAAAATCAGAACTTCTACGCACATATATCTCACAACGTTGTAAATTTAGCTCTTCACAAAACGTACTCTCCTCCTCCTCTTCCTTCTTCTTCTCCTACTACCCAACAGAACTTTTCCAAATGTACGCATAAAGAAGCTAACTGTATGACTGTACTGGGCAAATCCCGCGTTAGTTCTTCTCTTCCGCTCTGAGAGTCAATAATTCGAGACTCCCAATCTCTCTCTCCAAAGATATCATAAAGAGGCAAGAAACGCACACGTGCCAAATCTTCTCTATACCCAAACACATACTTCCAACCCAGCGTATCAGTAGATTCCATCCAAAACATAAAATATTAATCTCCGGATTAAACCACACCCGATCCTCATCATCCCAATGATCCGATTCATACGATGCGATCTCCAATCAAACATCCTGTGATACAGTAGGCGAATCGCAGTATACGCATCTCGATTCGCAGTAATGATCGGAGGAATGTGATAACGATGCGCAGCGCATTTACGGGGTGAGATGGGAAGAAGTGGGAAGGCGGAAAAGGTTGCGGAGGGGGAGAATGATGATACGGGGTGGGAGGGATAGGTGCTAGATTTTGAGACGCAGTTCGACGGGGAGGAGGGAGAATTGGGGGAAGGGAGAATTGGGGGAAGGGAGAATTGGGGGAAGGGAGAATTGGGGGAAGGGAGAATTGGGGAAGGGAGAATTGGGGGAAGGGAGAATTGGGGGAAGGGAGAATTGGGGGAAGGGAGAATTGGGGGAAGGGAGAATTGGGGGAAGGGAGAATTGGGGGAAGGGAGAATTGGGGGAAGGGAGAATTGGGGGAAGGGAGAATTGGGGGAAGGGAGAATTGGGGGAAGGGAGAATTGGGGGAAGGGAGAATTGGGGGAAGGGAGAATTGGGGGAAGGGAGAATTGGGGAAGGGAGAATTGGGGGAAGGGAGAATTGGGGGAAGGGAGAATGGGGGAAGGGAGAATTGGGGGGGGGGGGGGGGGGGGGGGGGGGGGGGGGGGAGTCATGGTGGGATGGGATAGGGTGTGAGAGGAAAGATAGGAAGAGGAATGTAGAGTGTGGGAGGTGAGATTTGAATGCTAGGATGGATTCGTGCAGATACAAATATATGTATGATAAGTCATCTTTCTACATGCTTCTCTTATGACTGGGAAATTTTTTATTTCACTTACTGTATATATCAACGCTGAATCTCGGGAATCTATCTCACCACTTTAGACTCTTCTTCACGTGGTAAAAAGAGGTCGACTATCGTCTAATGATCATCTTCATCCATTTACTTTGTTTGACTACTTGGCTAAAGAAAAGCAGCAGAACCTCGGTAGTAAGTTATCGTCTCGAGTTTTCGCAGTAGAGTATGCTAAATACATAGCTACCTAACTCTCTCTAGTTCGTTCCAGTGATTCATGACATCATTTACTGACCTATTTCGTGGCCTCTAATGTTTGGTGGACTAACTAAATTGCCGAAAAACAGCAATGGAATTTCAAAGATCTCATTCAAAAAATGCGCAGACTGAATGTGTATTAACAGCCGATAGTCTATGATAGACATGTATGTAGTTTAATCATAATTTCAAAATCACATTTCCCTTTCTCCAACCACAACAGTACTAATCTAAATCACCCCAAACTCAAAGCTACCTCCGTCGCCTCTCCCCTCACCCCACCCACTCCATCACAATTCCAAGCATATTCAACCACCTCTCCGGATTCCCCTTCCCCCCATCCTCCGGCAATGTCTCCGGATCCCCATTCTGCACCACCGCCTCCGCCAGCGTACACAACCCCGTCTCCACGAACCCCAGACTCCCATAGAGTGTCTTCACTATCAGATTTTCCGGATGCAGAAATACACGGATGCGTACTTTTTCCTTTCCTTCTCTCTGTGCTTGTTTCCTCGCGCTTTCAATCGCACCTTGAATTAACAATTTCGCGAGTCCTTTTCTTCGATGTAAAGATGAGGAGTATAGCGCGATCATCTGGTATTTCAATTCCTGGGCATCGGGTTCCGGGGGCGGAGCACCGCCTAGAGGAAGTGTGAAAAATGACGCCAGGGAAGGTCCATAGAGTTGGACTGAGCCGACGAGGAGCCCAGTGCCGATGGTGTGGGTTTCTGGGGGAGAAGAGGGGGAATGTGCAACAGCGAGGAAATAATGGAATTTCGGACGGGAGAAACGGGAAAGCCAGACGGAGGAGGAATAGAGCGATTCGAGTTCGAAAGTGGAGGCGAAGGAGCTGGGGGAGTCGAGGAGCGCGGAGAGACGGAGCGCGGAAAATTTGCCGGCGAGATAGGGGAGGAGGGTGGGGGGTGTGGTGGCTGTGTCTGTGGGTGAGGAGGGAACTCGGTGAATGGAGTATTGGAAGGACATTTTTGGGGGCTTGGATTGATGGTTTTGGTGGTAGTGGAGTTGAAAGGGTTTGAGGAGAGTATTTATAGTTATAGATAGGTAATGTAATGGACGACTTTCATTATCTGCCTACCAAAAGAATTCGAAGTCTGTAAACCAACATCCCACTGTTGGATGACCGTATAGCCCACCACTAGATTTCCTAATAATGTCCTCATGCAGGTACCATAAGCACTTATCCGATTTAACTGGTATACTGGGTTCGTATGAGGGATGCGTGACTTGAAGATATATCATTCTGGTGAGAGGCAGAGACGTCGGTAACATTTCAATTGGATTTTGAATACGCATATAGTTGAATTGTGCTTTCGAAATGTCTTGTGGGAATGTCGTATACTTCTACCAATGACCTACCGCGTCAGAGATAAATTTGATTAACTTGGGACGTAATTAGTGAACGATATCGGTCATATGTATATGAATGGGTGTCTATAAGCCGTTTGGGAATATAATTCATCTAGAGTCGAACAGAGTAATACTTGAGTCCAATGATTTCAATCAAAGGTGCTCCAGACCGAATCTAGTAGCTCCTCTACTCGGTCTCCATCCAACGATACTCCATACTGAATAATAGTAGCAGTATTTATTGCAAGACCATTAATGTATTAAAACTCCTTCTTACTGCAGAAGCCATCTTGAGTTTCTGTTCCCTATTTTCTTCGTTAAAAATCCTTTCTTATTCTTTCCTTTCAACTCATGTTACTTCTGCTTCTCTAGCCTCTTCACCATTTACGTTGATGCTTGATTCATGATTTTCCAAGCATAATCAAGATGCCGTCCATGCTGAGTTTAGTCAATATATAAAGAATATAATCCACCCATATAAACAGTTCGAACAGAATAGAGGAGTGTGTCGACCATTCTACTACAGTGCTTCATGCTTTAACTTCGTGATGATTCCTCACCCTCCGGCCATCTCTATCCTCACCCCTAATACGTTCCCACAATCCCCTTAAACAAACCCAAATTCAAAATCATTCATCCCGTCCACGCCAAGATTTATGTCCGGAAGATGCTGACCGTCCGTCGGTAAATGATTAGCATCTGACCTTATATGATTATCAAACAGGTTCTATTCTCTCATTAGTAATTGATTATTTCACAAGCCCACACAAAAACATGATTTTAAAATATCCATGCGCCTGAGGTTCAATAGTCCAGGCTGCAGTCCGACAATCAAAACTCTGGATATCTGAATACAATCGGGTCAGAATATCGAGCCCCATTTTGAATCTTGTATTGATCTCAGATATCCAGAGTTTCGTATTGCCGGACTACAGTTTGGACTATTGGAAGGCCAGATTCGAAAAGAAAATACATACCCAGTCAAAGTCAATAGGGATACCCATTAAATAATCAAACGGGCGGACTCATTGAGAGGATTTGTTTGAGAGAGAATGGATTGGGGGTCTCTAAATTCATGAAGGAGGAATTTGAAGCGGGAGTAGGGGAAGTCATAGACCATGTGTCCGCTCCTAGTGGGTTTGTAGTGGTTTGATTTATTGTGAATCCATCTATAAGCGGCGATCATTGTTAGTTGTGAGGATAACATTAGGGTCTCTTTCGAATTGGGAATACCATACCTTCCAAAGACAAACCTCCCATCGAGCCAATATCATTTGTGCCTAGATCCATATCCCAAGACATTTGTGACTTCCCAAGTGCCACATAAGCCGCATCAAGTTTTCTCATCATTACAGCCAGCACATCCGCTGCCCTTTTAACCTCCGGGTATTTCAGTTGCGTAATCTGCCATACATCCGATGACATCTTTAGCGCAGAAATCATTTCCACTTTTTGTTTCTGACATGAGGTGTTCTGATGTTTGCCTTTAATTTCCTCTTCCAGTATCTTCATCGTCCTCATGTACACGATCATTGCCGCGAGTAGAAATCATGCATCGTTAATGAAGATGGGAAACATCTGTCTCGGGCTAAGACCCTCCTGGTCGTGTAGCTTCGTAAGTCTGTTTTTGGAAATTGAGAAGTTGCATTGCGGCATCGATACCGACCTTAACGGAATATTCTCGCTCAGGATGATCTTGATTGCCCACAAGATACTTACGGTGAAGAACACATCGACTTTTGCATAGAAGATGAGCGATATTCAGTCTCTGGATAATCAACTTTGCTGGGTCAGCGATGCAACTGTCTATCGGTTGAAATCGGAACGATGGCGGTACATTTGCTTGTACCACGTCCAACTGAGCATCTAATTCCATGATATCATCGTAAGAAGGCGGGATAATGAATTCGCATATGCTGCAATTTTCCCGAAAACTTGACATATTTTGTTCTTGAACCGAACATATGACGCTGATGTTACTTCCGAGTCAGGTCGAGGGGTGGGAGCTCTGTACAATCTTCATCAAAATCCGAGTCATTCAAATTTCGGGGTAATTGAACATCGCTATCAACGGATTCAACCATACTAGGTAATCCAATATGAAAGGATGCCAGTAAATCTATTTGTCTCAAAATGGCCCAAAGTCGCCGACGCATTTCCCCTTGGAACGGAGTAATTTGTCCACCAACTCTATCGGGATCTCGATGAAGTCCCATTCGTAAGGCTAACCGGACAGCAACACCAAGAAGCACATAGCAGTTCACCTGATCAGCATCGCTGAGAACAAATTCTCCTTCCAAATGAGCAAGCATTGCTTCGATTGTATACTTTCCTGGTTTTGTGTAATCCGATAGGCGGATGCATTGGATACAGTTGCGTCGATATGTTCGTATCGTTTGCATTTGTGAAGCATGCTCATCTGGATTTTCTTCGCCTGCTGCATAACTGGAGAATAAAGAGAGACACATGATGCCATATAATAAGCCCAGCCAGCAAATAGGAATGTCATGCGGATTTGCCCAAAATTTCAAATACTAATCGATTTAATAAGTATGAGCAAATGCGGATATCAATTCTCAGCAGATAGAGAGTGATCTTTATAGTATGCAACGATGACAACAGAAATAAAAGCCTTTCCCAGCACGCTAGCTGTAGAATGGTCTCTCATAATTCTAATATTTCGAACGATGCAAAAGTGGAAGAAAACATTACGTTACCTCTTTTTGAAAAGTCGGCGCATGCAGAATATCTTGTAAAATGTTTAGCATTGTCCCACAACTCATGCTATTACTGGAGACCTACGCAGTGAAGGATTGGCTCCATGAAAATAGCCTTGAACAATCTTATCAACGACTCTACGGGAAGGTAGAGCTGCCAATAATTTGGCTTTGGTCGGTGGTGCATCTGTGTTGAAAAGTAGACTGGGTTCAGGCCCAGTCTCTTCTTCAATATCATCGTCTTCTCCTTGATCAAAATATTCTTTAACTTCTCCTATCTGATGAATATCAGTACAAGTAACTTGACGCAATGGAAAATTCTCACGTCATCAAGAATTGCAGCCCAGTGGGTAGCGCCAACATATTGCGTTTCCTTCCCGCCAATTACAACCTGCCCTGAAGGCGGTATAGTCTGTTGAATAACTGAGGGCTTATCCAAGCCAGATGAAGAACTATCAACCGTATTTAATCTCTGATCTTCCGATGAGATCCCAAGAGCCTCCGCTCTGGCAACAAGGTTTCCGGGCTCCGGGCCATCACGTGGAGGAGTATTTGGTCCAGCTAATTGTTGAGAATTCATAACGTCCTTAACTAAGCTTTCCAGGTGCTTCAATCTTTTGTGCATTGTCATCGCGGCTTTCTTCCTTGGTAAGGGCGTGGATATGAACATGATCCCACCCTATCCTTCTTTTGACATTGGCTGCATGGTTGAGCTCGATCGCATTTAAGTTTGGCATGCCGACATGGTGTACAACTCAATTGAACACGATTTCTCTTGGAATGAGCAGGAGCAGATTCCTGTGAGGTGGATGTTGATGGTGTATCCATTCTGATTGATGTTTACATTGATTGGCGCTGATGGAAAAGGCAGTAACAACTGGTCGTCTCGCAACGAACCACTCGGCACAGAGTACGGAAACTAAAGTGGTTATTGATCTCTAAAGAGATTGGCGATGATTAACAATATCAAGCACTTTATTTGAAAACCGTTGAATGTGTGATATACTGTAACGTTCTTGGTGTTCGTGATCGTTATAAGAACAAGGAGCCTGTTGAGCTTCGCCTGTGCATTTCAGCCAATGAGCTTCATTTTTACCGGCCCCACCAATCATCATCATCACACACTACACAACTCTATATAGAATAGAGTATATGGGAGAATATATAGGCCGTGTTTGATCACTTCTTAGCATTGACAATAATTCGATTAATTGAGAGATTTTAGTAAAGACCTCTCTCTCTCTCTCTAAATGATGAAATTCATTGTGTTTTTCCTCCTTCGAATGAATACACAGACTCGCTTCTTGACCGTAGGTACATCTTCAAACCATCTCGTCTCACCTACTCCTGGCATTTCAAATCGACTTGTTTAACAATTTAATATTGACAATGAGGTAGGAAAAATGTTTGTGATGCTGTCGGGCAAGATTATAATTTGGTAAAACTTGCATTCTATTTTCTATGTCGACCCAGTGATTGGTACTGACTGTTGCGGATCTATTCTCTGGTATATTCATAAACACTTCATTTCCCTATCTATTCAATCCTTATCAAAATATCATCAACGCCGATTTATCTAAGCTACCAGAGGAATGGGTGGTGATTTACAACCAGTCCTTCCTGCCCTTACGTTCATCTAGACCGCATAACCATCTATATCAAGCCATCTCAATTCATGTTCCAAAATCTTCATCATATCCCAGCCATCTCAAAGATTGCACTTCCTTAAATCATAATCTCCACCCACCGTATCCCAACTAAAATGATTCAATTGGAGTCGGCAGCATCATCGTTGTCTACATCACTATCTTCTGCGTCTATCTCTTCATCTAGCTTTCCATCTAATGTCGCTACACTCTTGTTATCGTTGCCCTTTTTCAACATCATCAAAGCATGCTCATCACTTTCTGTCGCACTGTTCTTTCTGTTGCTTTCTCTTCTCTGCTTTCTACTGACTAGACCTGGGAATATTCTTGGTTCACTGCCTGAAAGATGTAGATCACTAAAGCCTGCTTCTAGTCCCCAAGATTTTTCACGTCCCTTGTTGGCTGAGATTGGCGAGTTGAACGACGAGTTCGGTTGTGTCTGTTGATTTGGAGTAGCATAACCAGATGGACTATCGGTACCTTTCTGATGAGTTTTGAAATGAGAATCTAGGTGTAGCTGAGAGTGGGAAGGGGGGACACGAGCAGCCTGAGCAGGATTTTGCTGGTATGATTGAGAAGGGCCATGATCGGCCACGCTAACAGAAGCTTTCATGGATGATGTTGGTGAATGTGGTCGCGGCCCTGGGAAAAAGGAATTTTCATCTACTGGGGCTGATGTCTGAACGGCTGGAGTTGACAGAGCAGTGTAACGCTCAATCCTGTTTTTGCTATTAGTATTGCATATATTTTGAAAAGATAACAAGGAAGCATTAGCATGACTTACATAGATAGTTCCTGCATCAACGTCTCGTGTCGGAAGCCTTCCCGAATATTTGGGACGTTGCTCTTTGCCATAGTATTACCCTTTACTCCGGGTAAATCATAGTCTGGACCTAACCATCTCTGCTTCACAGAATGTTCAAAGCCACTTTGTACGACTGAATTTTTGGCCAATTCACACATATCCACTGCGCTAAGCTTGTAAATTTGTGCAGCGACCGAGTATTCCTCGATAAGTGGCTCCTTTGTAAAAGCGAATTGCAGAGGATCATCGGTAGAGAGAGAGACATTAAGACCTCTCTTAAAATAGGAAAGGAAAGGGTTTCTTTCATATGCTAGGAACAGTGCATTATTACTCAAAGGTGACATTGCTACTCCTATCTGCTCGAGATAGAAGATATATTGTAGCAAAGGTACTTTTCGAAGTAACAAACCATGACTGATACTGTGACAGCAAAGAACTGCAGCAGCTAGATGATCAGTATCACCAGCTTCTCCACAATGAGGTCGTAGTAAGAATGTGTTGAAGCCACGCTGCTTGCGCCACACATTCAAAGAAGAAATGTTGGCGAAAAGGTAATAGATCCAATAGCTGTAAGGAGGATTTTGCTTAGAATCCCATACTTTTGGTACTGGGAACTTTTTGAATAATCTTCGCTCAGCTTTACTCTCATCATCTACACTATCAAATCCGATTACTCGCTGAAGGAAGATGTGGAGCTTTGGGTGGCTAGATGGATCTTTGGTTACTTCAAAGAGAGGCTGAAACAAGTTGATGATAACTTGTTCGAAGTTCTCCATCAATCCACTGGATTTGTAAACGTCGAACAGCCGTGGGACTTGGATCAACCATCGAACGTTGTGTGAGAATAGTTTGTTGTCAACAACCCATGCTGCTAGCTTGTCCCATTCGTCGATAGTTCTTCCATAGATGGAGATTCGCCATTCAACCATTTGATACTTGCTTGATTCGAGATCTGATATGACCTCTTTAGTGATTTCTGCCAGATATCTTCCGTTTATGAAATTATCTGTCTTTAAGAAAATTGTTCTCAAACGAGATTCCCCAACAGGATTATACTTCAGATTGAATTTGTCGAATCGATGGAAAGAATCGGTGTGAGCCTGAAAAGTAGTTAGAAAAGTGTAACGAGACCCAAGAAACCATCAACCTACGTGCATATCAAGCGTATCGATACTCAAATCATAAGAAGTCAAGTTGATACTTTGAAAAACTTCAGCTAACGTGAGATGTTTACCATCTCTGAACATGACGATTTCATCAGGATTTTTCTTCATCTTACTCTTAATGAATCTAAGCAGATGCTTCTGGTTCATACAGGCAGAGTGATGAACGTGAGTATCAACCTTTCTAACATTGTAGAAATCTCTGTGCGGTACACGTTTACTGTCCGCCATTTCCTGATATTCGTTGAGAAGAACGTAAAGATTGAATTTGCCCTCCAAATACTGCAAACGACGATAGGCAAAACTTTTACTTGGGCCATCAGATGAGACATTGAGAATTTGTTCCAAGTCCATGTAGAATTCTCTGATATCAGGTATGTTGATTACGGGTTGTTCAAGCTCTTGAAGTTTCGAGTTTTCGTAGACCTGGAACACCCCGCTTCCATCAAGTCTGAAGGTCATTTCTCCAGGTGGAGGAAGTGGAAGAAGATCTTCCATTTCGAAATCAGAACCAATGTCTTGCCCAGGTTTTCTCTTGCGTAGAGGGGTTTTGGGGGCACTGCGTGCACTAGTAGCCTGGGCTTGTGACAATTCTGATGCTGCACCGCTGATCGTTTGCTGATGGCCATGGGCTTCAGCTTGAGGTGGCAATACCATGCTGTTCGCCATACTGTTTGCTGTACTGTTTCTTGCATTTGTTGCGGCTTTATCGTCGTGCCAAGATGGCTCGGGAGGTGGTGGATAGATACTCCAGTTCGGGTCATCCTTAGGATTATCACCATCTTCTTGTAACGACAGGCGAATGTATTTGTGTCTAATGTCTATCACTTTTTGAATATTAGTGTAGATGGATGCGAGTTCCGCAGTTATGTGGGAGTCAGAATTGGCAAATCCGCCTGCACCAGAACCAAGGCCGACACCGGCACCTGCACCATGCAATCCTTCCATTTCTAGCAATGGCTTAGGTTCATGAGGAAGTTCTGGATGAGCTGCATGATCTCTAGCTTCCTTGTCTGCTCTCAGAAGGGATTCTCGTCTATTGTGTAATCCAGGAGTATGAACAAAAGTTCCTGCAGCAAGGCTCGGTTCTTGGATTACAGCACTTTCTGGGTGCTTTCCAAGATCTGCCAGACCAATAGGAGGAGCAGTTCTGAGTTTATTGAGATTTGGGAGATTTTGTGTGCTCGTTCCTAAAGCTTGACTTCCAGATCGATTCAATCCTCCTTGATCAGAATCTAAAATGTTAGAGAAGGATTTAGGTTTCAACACAGGACTAGGAACTGCAGACTTCTGAGAATGACCCCAATTGCTGCCGCTACCAGTTTTGTTGCCTTCCAACTGGCTGCGTTGAAAGAATAATTTCGCATCGGTCTGGCTCATCTCTTTCTCTGCAAGATAGTCGAAGTAAGCCGTTTTCTTTTGCTTGTCTCGAGCTAACATTCCACTTTGAGACATTGGAGTTTCGAGGCCGGGTGTATCATCAGATAGGAGAGCTGCCTCTGGAAGCATGTCTTCTGGTTCCTCCACTAGATCTTCACCGGCCCCAATATACCCCTCCTCCGCGATATCATTATCTATGTCGGACATGTTGGAAAATGCTAGTTTAGAGGGAACTCTTGGGGAAGAAGGGAGTTTTGAAGGGTTCTGCTCTGACGATGAATCTGGATAAAATATGTTAGCCCCTCATATTTTGTGTACCCTGCAACGCGGGGTTGAAGTGAAGCTATGTGACACCAAATCTTGGGTCCTTACCAGGCATATTTGTTATTTATCCTCTATGGCACAGAGAAGAATGTTGTCCCTTATAGTCTAGCCAGTATCCCCAATAATCTGACCCAAGATGGTTTGTTCAAACAAGAAGAAATGGGAAATATGAAGCAAGAAGCAAATCTTCAAGGTTGATTGTAAAAAGTTGGTTGTTTAACCTTAAATCTTTATGTTCCTGGGCTAAAAAGGCACTCTGGCG